ATTTGGTCTTAACTGATTCATGTCAACTTTGTAGCCAATGGGTTACCCATGCTGAATTCGGTTCTGATCACCTTCCAGTAACTTTTGAAATATCCCAAGAATTACTACTTCCAATTACCATAGAGCTGATTGGGAACAATATCGAACATTTATGGAATATAGCTTCGATCCAAACATTCCTTTGCAAACCATGATGAAATAAATTATGCTCTTGAATCTCTGACTAGTTCTAAAGTTTAAGCAAGAGCTGCTTCAGTACCAAAATGCGAGGTTAAATTCGATTCAATTATAATAGACGACGATCTTCAGTTCTTGATCCGTCTGAAAAATGTCCATAGGAGGCAATATCAAAGAGCACGCGATCCTGCCACGAAAGTTATCTGGCGAGATTTGGAAAAACAAATAAAAAACGATTATCTGTCCTGAGGAACAAAACTTTTGAAAATAATTTTTCTAAATTAGACTCGCGTTCCAAACCCTTTTGGAAACTCACAAAAATTTTGAAAAAACCTCAAAAGCCAATTCCAGCGCTTAAAGAAGGTGGTAAAATTTTGATCACAAATTTGGAAAAAGCTCAGAAACTTGCTAAGCAATTCGAGAGTTCCCATAATTTCAGTTTGGGTCTTACTAGTCCTATTGAGAATCAGGTTGCTCGGGATTATCTGAATATTTTCTCTCGGGAAAATATTTTGATGATTCCTGAGGGACTGATTTGGACGAAGTAAGATCTATAACTAAAAAGTTTCAAAATATGAAAGCTCCAGGTGATGATGGAATTTTCTATATCCTCATCAAAAACTCCCAGAGAGTACTTTGTCTTTCTTGGTAAAATTATTTAACAGATGTTTCCATTTGGCATACTTTCCTGATAAATGGAAAAATGCTAAAGTGGTTCCAAGTTTGAAGCCGGATAAAAATCCAGCTGAAGCTTCTAGCTACCGGACAATAAGTTTACTTTCTTCAATAAGTAAACTTTTTGAAAAGATAATTTTGAATAGAATGATGCTTCACATCAATACAAACTCAATGTTTTCAGATGAGCAGTTTGGATTTCGATATGGGCATTCAACCAATCATCAACTCTTAAGAGTTACCTATTTAATTCGTTCAAACAAATCTGAAGGCCACTCAACTGGAGTTGCTCTTCTAGACATAGAAAAAGCATTCAGTGTTTGGCATGAAGGTTTGATTGCTAAATTGAAAAAGTTTAATTTCCCACTTTATATTATGAAATTAGTTCAAAATTATTTAACTGACAGAACTCTGCAGGTAAATTATCAAAATTCCAAATCTAATCGACTACCTGTTAGAGCAGGAGTTCCTCAGGGTAGCATTCTTGGTCCTATATTGTAAAACATTTTCACTTTGGACCTCTCTGATATGCCTCAGGGTTGCCACAAATCTTTGTTCGCTGATGACACAGGCATTTCCGCTAAAGGAAGAAGTCTTCGTGTTATTTGCAGCAGACTGCAGAAAAGTTTTCTCTTCTTATTTACAAAAATGGAAGATTTCTCCCAACGCTTCCAAAACTCAACTTATAATATTTCCACACAAGCCTAGAGCTTCGTTTTTGAAACCTAGTAGTAGTCACATAGTCACTATGAACGGAGTTCCAATTTCCTGGTCAAACCAAGTAAAATATTTTGGATTAGTATCTGACCAAAAATTAACTTTTAAAGATCACATTGAGGGCATTCAAGCCAAATGTAACAAATATATAAAATGTTTGTATCCTCTTATTAACAGGAAATCCAAACTTTGCCTGACGAATAAACTTCTTATATTTAATCAATTTTTTAGACTGGCCATGCTTTAAGCTGTACCAATATGGTCTAGTTGTTGCACTACCTGGAAAAAGCACTTCAAAGGATTCAGAACAAAGTTCTAAAGATGATTTTGAAGTTGCCTCCTTGGTATAGTTCTACCGAGGTACATAGAATTTCGAATGTTGAGACTTTAAACAAATGTCAAACAAAATAATTAATAATTTCAGGCAAATGTCATTGCAATCCTCAATTGCATCGATTAATTCCCTTTATACTAAGATAAGTTTTAGTTTTAAAATTTCAATTGTTATACTGACATGCAGGTTTAAAAAAAATCCTGTTTAAAATACTGAATTTCCAAGACAGGAACAATGTAAAAACACTTAGATATATATCATAACAATTAAGGCTGGTAAGTTACTGTAGTAACTGGAGCACCTAGGTTGAAGTGTAATGTTATTTATTTTGAATTTGTTAAAGAGTTGAAAAAAAGGTGGACTGAGTGAAAAATTACTAAAATTTATCCTGCTATCTACACATTATTAAGCTATCTTAATATTAAACTTTCTTACATTTGAACTTAAACCGTTTTGCTAGATAAATTTGGTGAACTTAGTCTACTTAACTTAACTATCTATTTAAAACTTAGATACCTAAAAAGGTGAGAAGAATTGAACTATGTGCACATTATAAACCTTATCTATCATTCTTACATCCAGCCAAATTATCTAAGGATTGAGCTATATAGAACAAAGACACTGGATATAACTCTGTATCGTACAAGTTATCAAGTTTGAGTGGTAGTGAACACTAAAGTAAGAAATTAAAATCTATCATAAATTTAGTCTTAAAGTTAATATGTTGAAATTTCGACAGGAATTTTGTATTTTACCAATAAACTTCTAAATCCATTCGGAACGGAATATTCACAAACTTAGACTTTCTACTACCACCCAACATCTTAAAAAATTCTATAAGTACATCGAGTATGTCACGCAAATCATCAACCGGCTCCAGGTCAGAATTGAGTTCTGCCATGGGTGCTGTGAGCCAGCTTTTCCAACGACCGATATAGATTTAGTTACCGGGATCAATAGTCTCACTATCGTGACCAACGCGAACAGCGGAGCTACGGGCTCGACGACAACGGTAGCCAGTGCAAAGAGCCATGCGTCTGCGGTAAAGGAAGTACCTCCCCACCCTAGTTCTCAGGTAAATTTTGACATTGCCAATCCTATGAAGGCTCATGTAAAGGGAGACAAATCCAAAATAAAGGCTTGTGCCAATACTAATGTCATACCCGTCCGGTCAACGAATATCGCCATAAACGCGAGACCTAACGCTTGACTAGATGTGAACTGCTCGGTACAGTCATTGCGAATTGTGTAGTGAACGTGATACTAGTAGAATGGTGCAGTGTGATGGTTGCGATAGGTGGTATCATTTGTCTTGTGTGGAAGTGACTGGTGGCGTAGCAAACCAAAGTTGGATATGTCCAAAGTGTCCATATATGCATTTCGGTCCCAGTAATCAAGTGGAGCAAACACCTATGTATACCCCAACCGGCTCAACCGGTAGATCTACCCCCAAATCTTTTCAACTCAAGGAAGTCCACTGGAAAGTCCAGCAGAAATCGGAGTAATCAACGGAAGGTCGATCGACTGTTGCAGAAGCTAGAAGAGTAGAAGCAGTTGGAGCAGAAATTGTTGGATGGAAAATACCGGAACTTGAAACGAAATCTTTACAAATTTGCTCAACCAACAGTTGCTGTACAGTACTTCTATTAAAATTACAAATTTACAGCATTAGATAGTTACATTTCTCCAGTTCGACCGAAATCTCGAACCTTCCTCTAGATGGAGCCCATCAGTTGAAACAGACACGGAATCAGCGTATTTCTTCCATTTTGGGTGACAAAATCGATCTTGTTTGCAGCATACCACTCCAGAACCATCTTGGAGTAGTGGCAGCTGGTCAAATCGAGCCAAAAGATGACGTTGTCCCTATGCTTGCGGATGAATGGCAATACACGCTTTTTCGGGCATTCTTCGTTATAAACATGGGATGTTATCGTCGAGGATGTGACGGATGGTTTGGTTGCCAAATCATGGCCTTCTTCGAGAACTTGTCAGCAAACACGAACTTGAATCTTCCCGTCACATCCCCATGTCCAAACGCAATGTAAAACGTTTGACCGGGAAGCTGCTTAAAATTGAGTTTGACGTAACCCTTGTGTTTCGTCAAAACACGGTCGTACAAGAGTCTTGCACGGTTTTGGACACAGAATTCTGATTCATGTGCCGGTTTGGATGTTTACTGGATTTGTACTACTTGTATCCTTCCCTGGCAAGGATGTTCCGCACCGTTTGATAGTTGGCGTTGTACCTTCTGGCTACATCTTGGATCGAAAGACCGGGGTTGGCTTTAACGCACCTCAACACCTTGGTGAAGGTGTCGTAGGTTTTTTTCGTAGGTAGATTTTTCGTAGGTCCACTGATTCCTTTCCACACTCAGGGTTTTCTTGTAGGTTCTGAGCACTTGAAAAACTGTTGTTTTCAGCATCTTCAGCACTTTAGCCAGCATGGAAACCGGACCATTTCCAGGTGTTTGAGCACACGGATTTTCCAGGTGTTTGAGCACAATATTTTTTTTTCATTCGAGTTCCATTTTACGTTATTTCTGAACGCGATCGACTACTTTGATCAAACTTGCACCACTTATTCTCTATAGAAGTGTAAACAAATCACTGTCTAAGATTTTCGATTCCCATCATTAGAGGCGTGCTAGCGGTGCGCGAGGGGCGTACTAATTTACTTTTAGTCAGCTTTTACCATGATAAGATGAGGTCAATGCAATTTATTAGAAATAATTATTTTGACATTTGGTCACTAAGAAACCGGTTCTGCGAATTCCAGAACCCAGTTCGGTTGAATATACAATTATATTCGAGCAAACTATGTATAAACTAAAGGGTAAGTAACTCAGCACAGTGTGCCGAAACTAGATTCGGCACAGCTTGGGCACATCTATCGGCACACCTTCGGTACAATATCGTAGGCATTGGATTGCTCAATAAATAAAATGGGAGCACTGATGGACAGCTGTCATTGAAGTTGTTCACAACATTACATGCAGTTTGAGTGTGTATTTCAGAAACATACTCTAATTGAATATACTAGAGGAACTCAGACCAGCAATTCACGTCTCGGCTCACATTTAAATTTAAATTATAAGCTTCCGAGGGCTGTCGATTGCTATCGATACCGGTCACAAGTCGTCCAGCTACTACGCAAATGGAGTGTACTACAAACCGAAATGCAAGAACAATTTGGATGGATTGGATCAAGCAGTGGTGGTGGTTGGATATGGCAAACTCAAAGGGGAAGATTACTGGCTAATCAAGAACTCCTGGTCCAACTACTGGGGCAACGATAGATATGCTTTGATGGCGGTGAAGGCTAACAACTGTGGCCTTACCACCGATGCGATGTATGTCAATTCGAAGTGAGTTTTCGGTTTAAATTTGAATTAAGTAAAAGAGTAGTTTTATTTTCGGATACGTGTCATCTTATACGAGATGAAATAAATGGTTTTCAATTTTTGTAACAAAATTGAAAGTTAATTATGTTGAGTGGAAGCAATAAAGATTCCGTGCGATTGTGCCGTGAAAAGTAGTCGGTTAATTGGTTGCCTACCAAACCAAATTCATTTGAACAATACCGAACTAATTTTCATGGCACAACCACACGGAGTTTTTATTGCTTCAACTCAACCTAATAACCTTACAATTTTTAGAATGAATTTCACTTGTTCAGGTACTATGATCGAATTCTTCCGGAACTTCAACCCGATGGTAAAACCAAACGTCTTAGTTTGCGATCCTTCTTCTTGGCATAAACCATTCCGACGTCGAAAACCTCTAAGAGCTTCTTTCCCGGAATCATCACCTTCAGCAGTTCCTCTTCCAGATTGAGCAGTAAGGTGTAGTGATTCTGAATCGTTTCCGACAGATCGACCAGCAATGTTCGGACGACATTGGAGTAGTAGGACTTGTAACGCGCACCCAGAGCACACATGATATATCCAAAGTGCAGATAGTTCTTGTCACTGAATACACTGAACGTTAAGCTGTAATTGCCACCCGACTCGATAATTGCCGGGTGGCACATGTCCAACTAGTCCGTCAGTGCCTGCTCGACAGCCTCCGACAGTTTGGCATGTTTTACTTTCTTATCAGCATCCATAATCTCCATGATGTGATTCTTGAGGTACTTGTTGAATACGTCTGTGATAGTGATTACCTCGGAGTCCTCCTTGAAGGGCATGATGTCCGCGATTGGGACGCTGATGTCCACCGTGTTGAAGCTCTTGTCCTTGATGAAGGCTCGCCACGATTCACAGAAATCACCCAAGAAGTTGTCCTCGGAGAAGACGCTCAACGTTTTGCCATCCATGGATCCCTTAACCGCCTCCAGCAGCTTTTCAAATTGGCCTAGAATTTGTCATTCTTTTCCCGAATGAACAGCTTCACCGACGGAATGCTCTCCTTACCGTGCTTCTCGATCTGCTTCAAGAAGTCGATCTTCTTTTTGCCGGTCAGGAAAAAGATTGACTTTCGCACAGCACCGCAGGTTTCCGCATCTACGCCAACCGCCGTCAGAATGCAATCCACCTTCTGCAGCGAATCATCATGGGAAAACTCTGGTTCCTTCCAGCTGGCGTAGAGGCGTTTTATTCGTCGGTAGAAGGAATCCTTATGGAGAACGATATTCGACATTTTCGGTGCCGTTGCGATTGCAAACCTAAACATTCAAGCTGTCAGAAATACTAGGTTGCCAAATATATTCGTATTTTTTTGAAAAATCGCAGCTTGCACTATGCCCGGCACAATCGGCACACCAGCGGTAAACTTGTGGCACACTGAGAAAAAGGTTGACCTAAGATTGTTGTGTGGAGTGACCTACCCCTTGGTATCAACTCTCAACAAAATGAGTAGATGAGGTCAATGAAGTCAATTTTAAATGTATCTGTTGGCATATAATCGTATTTATATCGGATTCAGAAGTTCCGGATTCTGGTTTAATGATTCGAGAAATACGGTTTGGTTAAACATCGAGGGCATGTTGAATCATACTACACTGATAATATATAATTGATGAAATCAGTTTGGTATGTATCCGATGACATATGGCCACGATGGGATTCCAGAATCTGATTCAGTGAATTCTGGGACTCAGTTTCCCGAGTAGCACACTTTCATCCCAATAAGTTACAGCAACTTGTTTATGACTGAAATAAGTCGTATATAAGTCTTTACAATTGATTTGTGACAAGCGTGCTACTAGGGTTGTTATAGTTATATTCGAAGCAAAATAATCAGGAATACGATTTGTAAAAAGCAGACTATTGGTTCTGGGTTTGCAGAATTTAATTACGTTAATCCAAAACCTACGATTCAATATGGTCTAACTGTATTTGCGAAATTCATATCATACGACACTCTAAATCATCCGGTAGTATCTGGCCACATTGCCATCGATTCTTGGATTCCCAGAACCCATCGGCTACATCGTGTTTTTGGTGTCCTAGGACAAGTGGTCCATACCTTTCATTCACAACAAAGTATATCACGATACCACCCATATTTCACAATTCTGGAACTACCGGGACCGATGCCAGTCATGTGATTACAACGGATACATTTAAAATTATGTATCTCCTTTGACCTCATCTGAACACTTTGATGTGAATTTATGTTTTTTCAAATGTAATTATTTTGCCATGTAAAATATTATACTTGTATGTAACATAGTTTGCAATTGAACAAGCAAACGGTGAGTCCCAAGTTTATATATATTACATATACTATTCCTTGCTTCTACCAATACACCAATTTGCAAATAGGGTCATGTTTTGACTGATTTGCATTGATTCAGATTCATTTGACAAACTCTGTGAAGTTTCCTATTCCCCTGCGTCTGTTGTTGCATAATATCACTCCTACCGAAAACTTCAATCAACATTTGAATAATTCATTGAACCGAAATTGCAATTCTTTCCCCACCCCTGATACTACCTGGCTCCAGTTTTCAATTTTCCACTAAACACCAATGCACAATTGAGGTATTTGCAATTCTCCCCGTTCTAAGGCCCGACAGACCCGATTCACCGAACAACTCTCCTCCACCACCAACCGGTGAAATGTTATTATTATTATTATTATTATGTTCGATTTGATAGCAGAAAATTTAATGCAAGCGGAAAGCTTTTTCAATTTATAGCTACCTTGGCACGCCACACTCATTCGCTGCTTGCGGCAAGAGAGCAACTGAGTGGGTGGAATGTGGGTGTTTCGCACCTTCCAGTCCGGTCCGGTATCATTCTACGCTGCCGCACTGTTGGAAAGAACCCATCAAAAGCCATCGCCGCCGCCGCCGCCTCCACCGACTTTGACTTGACATACCTTTTCCGAGCAAAGAGAACGACTTGGCTGAAGTGAAGTGGAGGATTTTTTTTTCGCTCGTTGCTGGCCTTTCGCGTGCCGTTTATTTTATTTTATTGCATCCAAGTATCAGTCAGGGCAGTCCGGGGGAAAAGGAAGATTGCAGACCCCTTTTTCCGGCGTAGAAGTGTTCGGTAATGATTTTTCGTGTTGAAATGCTTCTTCCGTTCTTGATATTTATTTGCAGGCTTTTACTTGTTGGTTTGATGGATACTTTCGCTAAGAGTAAGCTGTTTTGAAATTTATGACGTTGAGTGTTTAATCAAATAAGGACGAGGAAGTGGCTCTTGAAGAAAAGACCTTTGGAAAAGGATGCTTTCCTTCACCGAAAAGAATTGATACCTATTGATGTTTAAATTAAAAATTCATCACGAACACCATTCTTTGCGATATCACTTTGAAACTTTTTCTTCCAAGATGTTCAAACAGCATTTTTTTTCTCTTTCAAACTCTCTTACAACGGTTGAAGAATGTCACCATCAATGGGTCCTATCTAGAAGAAAAATGTGATCCCTTCGGGCAAACTCAGGATAAATCCATCCCTTGCTACCACACCACTGCACTGTGGGCATTGATATTGATGTAATGATTCATACTTGCCAATTTTCTCCCAGCTGAACCACAAGAGACCACGAAAAAAAAACGTCCAGGAAAAGATACGACGGTCGCGCGCTCTATGTTACGTGGAATTTATGATTGGAACGTGATTAAAATATTCCTTTTATTTAACATTCCCAGATCCCAGCAAAATGTCACCCCGTAATAGCAGTGGCATAATTTCTTTTTAAAAATTAAAATTCATAACCAATCAACCCTGGGGGCTCCGGGGAAAGAGATCCCGATTGTTTGCCCTAATTGCAAACGAAACTAAAAGCGTCCTGCAGTCGGTAATTATAGTTCAATACTGAAATGTTGTGACAGGGTAATAGCGTGGCACGGGAAAAAGGATAATGACTTCCACGTTTCACTCGAAACAATCCGTTCGTTAGTCTTGCAGTCACACGGGGAAAGCAGCAGTCGTTCGGTGAAGATAAACAAACATACCTACTCACTCATATGTCCGCAGTAAGCTGCAATCGGAAACTTGTGTGGGAGGGAGGTGGGGCGGCATGAGAGAAGTAACGGCAACCATTTCCCATCCAATCATTCGTTCGACTTTTTTCCATGATTTAGCAACATCATGACGACCGGCGCAAACTGAACGGGAGCGTTTAGTGTAAATGACTGGTTTGTTTGTTTGTTTGCTTTAATTGTGCCTTTTTTATTTCTCGGCTGCCTTCACTGTGATCTCTGTAATTATCCTACTGCTGTGAAGCTCTAATTATCACCGTTATTACCAGGTAGCAACTTCCACAAAGCGGTTCAATTGGTCCCGCTTTGTTGGCAGGGATAAGCTGATGCCTGTCGGATATTACAGCGGATTATTATAGCAGTGCATAAAATTTAATGAGTATCTTTTTATGTCTTTCTTTTTTTTAAAGAAATGTTTATTTATGTTTTTTAGATGTTGGTTTTGTAGGGGAAATTGATGTAATGTCGTCCTAAATACTCCTTATTTGGGCCCTTACATAAATTCAGCAATGGACTAAATTTTCAATAGTGACCAAATACGTCAATTATTACCATCCCAATGACGCGTTAATCTAGATAAACGATTTTCACACTGCCGTACTCTAACTCTATAATTTCAGCTCCTCATTTATCGTATAAAATGACCACTTTAGTCTATTATTGTAAACTAAGCATCTTCAACTATGTGGAATTCATATTTGTTTGATCGAAAATTAAAATAATTGGATGAATGTTTAAAGAAATTCTAACCCTGTAAGTTGGACACTCTTCTGCAAAGTCATGGAGTAGAATGAGTATATCAGCTCTATTCCACACAGCAGGTGAGGTGAGGTGACTCATTGTCACTAGCGAAGTGACAATTGCCACTTCATTAGTAACAGCAAGTCACCTCACCTCCATCACTTTACAGAAAAACTCTGTATACCTCTTTAAAT